GATCGGACGCTTCACCTTGCCGTTGAGCCATTCCTTTTCTCGGGGAATTGAGTTAACTGAAAACCCAATGTCAAAGTGTGTGTGTGTGGGGGGGGGGAAGAGGACAGACATTAGCAGAAAGAAGGAAACATAAGCCGTACTTGACAATGCCGTGTCAATTTGTGTTTGTTGTTTTCCAGGGCTGCTGTGGGCTAAGCTGCGCGTACAAAATCGCTGCTTGCCTGGACAGTGCCGTTTTTTGTTCAAAGTGTTGGGATATTACTGTGTATATATATATATTGTTATATATTATGTGGTTTCTGAGATTGCTCTCAATGGTCACCAGCCGCAAAGGTTGTCAGAGTACAGGTCTATGATCTAGTGCTTCGGTTTGCTCAATCTTTTGGCCTGGCCCAGTTCGTCAACGCCAGCCATTGGCTGTGACCTCAAAACGCAAACCGATTGAACTTTCCTTTGGCCCAGGCTTAAAGTGGAGGTGCTCAAAAGTTCTGAGCCACGCCCACACAAAAATAAAATGCATACCTGCGTACTGTACCCCAGATAAGTTGTAGTTGTGGTTCCATTGCAGTTTATGTGGTTTCAAACGCCATAAAGGATCATAAAGGTGTACGGGGATGATGCAAGATCTGCGATAATTCAGTTTACATCAATTGTCCGTTTCGGGTTGTTGGGGTCCAAAAGTCTCTCTGAATGACATTGCTTGGTGACCGCTCCGATCTTTGGGCAAGCGGCTCGAGCGATCCAGCGGCTAGTGACGTGACGACTCCGCAGCCTGGTTGGCAGCTGAGGAACAAGAAAGCAAGTGCCAACGTTAGGCTTGGACGCAGAAGGGCTCAGGCTTACGGCTTAAGGGTTTGATTTCTAGAGTTAGTTGAAACCTACTGATACGTTTTGTTTTTCACAGTCAGTCAGGTGAAATGTCTCACGACCACGATGAGTAATCATCTCCCGTCAGAGAGTCGAGCACAGCCTCTTTTTTGAGATGTCCTTCTTGTAACATGGTCTTGAAACAATGTAAGAAATAGAATGCTGGATGCTGTGTGTGCGTCATGCAATGTGATAAATTTCAGCCCAGGCCAGTTGACCGTTCGTTCACCTTGTACATGACGAAGTCTGTCAGAGCTGGTGCAGGCAAGGATGCTTCCGTTTTCGGTGCAAAGGTACCCTGAGCATCTGCAAAGAGATCAAGGTTAATGTTCAACAGTTGAAACCAGTAAGTCGAATCCGGAGATCATGTGGGCTGACGGCACCCTTGGCATTTGAACTGGATTGGGTGTGCGTTTGTCACAACCATAAGCAATACTATAGTAATTATAGTGAGCAGAACATTTTGTCACTGGTATATGAACTGATCGGCTCTTGTTGCGGGTGAAATCACCTGGAGACAATGACTCTGCCCCGAGGAGTTGTTGGCGCACTGCTTGTGGCCCCGTGGCTGCAGCATGGGGGGGAAATCGGGAAACACCATGAAAGAGACATCACAAACCAGCCGCAATTAATATCCATGAATACCAGGATGAGAACAGGAATCAAAAGTCCATCTCACACCCTAACTGCTTGCAAAAGGGAAATGATGGCAGTTCCCAACAAAGCTGTAAGCCGCGAGTGTTCAAGCACCACTTGCTTTGAGGTTACGTTCCTGTATCTATGCCTTCAGGACGGCTGGCCCACGCCAAGGGAATGGGACCCAGACCCAGCGCTTAGCCACCAGACATTCTAGTGCAGTCATAGAGTACCCTGCTTGGCCAAATTGCCACCCTTCTGTGTGTGCAGACATGAATCATCATGACTCCTTTCTCCCCATTACCAAGGCATTATGAAAGAGTATCATAGAGTATCTAGATGTGTGATGTTTAGCCATGGATGAAGAATCCACCTGAAATGCTCCAGAGTCCTGCAAGTACACTGCCAGCTAAGAAGAGCAAAGTTGCTTCTCTTCGTCCCCAAATTGGGAAGTCGAAGGGGCCAAAAAGAGTTGGACACCAACGTCGTTCTTCGCCAGGATCGTCGGCAATATGGTACAGGCCGAGCCCTGCAGTCTTCACAGGCCAGAAGGGCTACGCTGTGGAGGGCTTCGCTAAAACAATCGAAGAGGATGTAACTTCAGGGCGATATTGGCAGAAGTTCCAGCGATATTGGCAGATATAGACAGAGTTAGATATCCTACATCACCGTCCAAAGCTGTAATTTAATTGGACAACTTCGGAGTTTTGCTGCATGAGCGTCGGTTAACTAGAGCCACGTGGGTATCAATTTGAGTCTGGAATGAACGGGATAGGATGGATGGGAATAGGTTGAAGAAAGGAACACTGGACGCTAGCAATTCTTCACCCAAAACTTTGGAGTGAAGGATGATCTAGCCCAATCCACTTCAACCAACAGAGTTTTCCGCTTCAATTGAATAAATAAGAGCTGAGTCTTTTTTTTGTGCGTTTCTTCTGGATCAGAGGTCCTTCTTGAGCCTGCACCATTGGAGCCTCCACCACTGACAACTGTGGGGAACCTTGGCAGAAGGGGTCCTCACACTCTGTAAGCTGAGTCTTACCATTGTATGCTGCTTCGCAAGTGGTGCGATTTTCACATCCTCCAGAGCCACGACGAGACCACGGGGCTCCCCGTCTCCCGTGGTCTCGAGAGCAGTGAGACATGAATGAATACAACGCAGCTACGTGCATTGTCTCTTACTTGCTTCGCACAAATCCCATGGCTATGCACGGAGGCATGGAAATATATGAACAGATCAAACAGCATGCGAAGAGATGCGAAGGCAACCGGCTCCAGTCAACATGCACGTGCCTCGAAGTACATGGCCTTCTTGAATTCAGAGCTTGTGTTCAGATCGTACGGACCAGGTCTGAAACACATTGGGGGGTTCAGCAACTGCTGACGGTTTAACTCTGTGTACAGAAGTCTTCAACTCTGTTGTATGTCCAAGAGGTGAGTTGTTTCCTTTTTTCGGCCAGAAGCTCGCCTCCAGAGAGCGCCAGCTCAGGTCGTCCCATCGGAGTTGAAGGCGGATCTCGGGTCGAGTCTGGCCCTTCCCGACTCTGCTATGCACTGGTCCTGTGCCGTTTCAGGAGATACACGGAGAAGTTTCCGCAGGGCCCCGACCACCTCTTACTTTGCTTGCTTTAATGAAAAGCTTAGCTTTAATGAAGATCCTAGAGATTCCCCTTGGGTGTTTGTCAGCAGTGACTGGTATTCATGCCCGCTGGGGCATGCCACATGCAGCGCAGGTTACCAATCAGAGCCAGTGGACAGCGCCACTCTCCGACGCCGGACAGGGCACTGTCGAGGCGGAGGATCATTCTTAACAAGATCTTTGAGGAAGCCTGTTGATTCCTCATTTAACAAAATCCTTGGGTTGATTCCTCCAAGATTCCTCCAATTGTTCTATGTTTTTCTTTTTTCAACCCAAGCTTTTGGGGGGAGTCACAACTCTTGGAAAGGCCCCATCCGGCGAGGCTCGTGTCAGTGTCGGCATGGGGTGCTGCAGACGAAACCAATCCTCCCGAGTTTGCGGTGCCGCCAGAACAAGCGGCAAATTCGTAGTTTACCACCAGGTTGTTTTGGTTTTCTATTATGTGTGTAATCATGTTGGACCCTTTGCTAGGCCAAGAACCTAAGAAAAAGATCCTGAATGATTCAGCATCGATGATTCAGGTGGGTCAGCAAGTGCGATTTCCACAGATCTATTGACTAGACAGTCCAAGGATATGATGATCATGTAGTAAGACTTTAAGTCGGGGGTCCCCGCAGATAGAGTAAAAGGTAAAGGATTGTAAAAGTGCTTCACAAATTGAGAATCGATTCCGATGAACTATATTCTTGGGATTCCTCTTGATGGCTGTTCAAAGAGTGACTCTTCAAGGTAACTTAAGACTTCACAAACCCAATTAAAACCTAAATATTTCCTATAATTTTCTTGAGAGTGAAAACCTTGGAATTGCTTAGGCTACTTTAGGCTTTGTGTGAGGAAACCTGACATCACTTGACTTGGCAGCCTCCTGAGTGGCCCAAGCCTTGATTTGGAACATGCCTGGAAGGAAAAGGAAGGCTGTTCCAGGAAGGTGTTCCCTACCTTCCAACTATCAGCATCCTGCATGGTTGCTGCAGCAGCATGGTGGAGGATATCATGGTGGAATTCCCCATTGGCTGCAGCAGGGCTCAATGCCTGGCCCAGGCCCTCCTGGATTCAGTGCCACTGGGCTGCCTCCTCCTTATGAGGAGGAAGAAGATGAGGAGGAGGAGGAGGAGGAAGATTCAGACTCGAGCCTAGTCATTGCATTGCAGCATGAGAGAATAATATCTGCCAATTACTTGGGCCTCAGTAGTTGACAAGTGAAATGATGTCAGGCCTCCTCACACAAACCTAAAAGTTAATCCAAGGGCACCTACTATGTGACC